CCCCACCCAGTTGCAAAACCGTATTTCGTGGGGATTGCCAAATCGCCTTCATCCTTTTCTGGAAGACACAAAGTTCGCACGAAAGGGCCGAGTTTCACTTTCTCTCTGAGTTTGATAAGAGCAATGTCATTCATGAAATTATGAACCACGTAATCTTCATGAACAAAGAAACTCTCCGGATGAATGTCCTGTTGAGATTTCTCATCCCTTTTTACGTTGTGGTCGCCGGCCTTAACCAGGTATCTGGAAAAAAAAAATATTGCCAGATTGGGAGGGTTGGACCGTAAAACATTTGATTTGGCAAGACTAACAGAGCGAGCTCGACGTCAGTGACTTACGTATGTCCTGCCCGAGAGCCAAATATTTTCCAGTCCGGCCAGACTTAGCCGAGTCAATCAATAAGCGTGTCATCATATTGCCACTGAGCTTTCCATCTTTCACGTTTTCGTAAACGCTATGGTCCTTAGTGTTCCGTATGTCTCAGGTTCGAAGGTCAGCAAAAAAGATCAGTCTTTAGAACATACAACATTTTAATTTCCGAGGAGATAAACGTGTACACTTTCCAACATGGCCGACAACTCGCAACCTCGTGGTCGAACAACAGGTCTTACTGCGCATGCGTGCAAAACTCTTACTAGGAGGGGGACCCCAGGGAATTGCTAATTTACAACAAGGCTTTCTGCGGAACACTTAGTACTTTCGAAAAGCAAATGTTATCACTATTTCCATTCGACAAACTTATGAAGGTTTATCTGAACCACGAAATAAACACTCATTTTGTGTTAATTAGCCTATAAAACTACATCGTAATCGTCAATCTTCAGCCAAATTCTTAAGACTCCTCAAAGATGGAAACGGCTATTGCATATCCCGAATGGGGTGAGCTGGAATAAGTTTGTGGCTTATGTAGATCAGAACGGACAGAAGGACGAATAGACGGACAAAGTTACTTAGAACGAATGATGTTTTTTAGGAGTAACTGTATGGAAACGCGGCTAGCTCACTTACTCTAAAGTGTTACTCCGGAATCGATAGCTCCCAAATCTCGGATCAAAGTGGTAAAAACAACTAGCTGCAGTCAGAATCCAGCGTCGAGATATCAGAGCACCACCACAAATAAGATGAACTCCTAGGGGAAATAAAACGATAAAACAAACAAGAAGATAAAAAATTATATCTCAAAGGATACGAAATAAGTTTTCAATACAGTTAATAAGCTTGAAAATGCTGTTCTTTTACGAAAAAGCTGTAGTAACGTATTCTGTTTGTCGTATATGGAACAAAATAATTGTGAACACCGACATTCTAGTTTACAGGCGATTTAAACTCCCGTTAAAAGGCGGCCTGAAGGCGGAAAATGGGACCTTCAGGACCGTCTGTAAAACACCCGTTCACCTTTAGATTGTCTATTCATTGACATTAACGAAAAATGATGAATTCTCGTTTGAAGCTACAGGTTTATTAATATACGACGTCATCTTTCCATAGTCCCAACAAACGAAAACAACAACATCTGATTTCAATTTACCTTCATCGTTATTTTTGTACAGTCCAATCTGCCAGGGCCACCATCCTCTTTTAGAGTTTTTACCTCCAACCATTCGACCCCTAAATTCTACTGGACTCACGCCACAAGGAGAATAATCTATAAAAATACAACAGAAGTTTCAAAATCAAAATCAACATTTAGAGTCAATTGGAGATATCACATTGAGAAATATGTTACGGAGTGTAATTTTGAAAATCTATTTTTCAGTATTATTGAGTGGGGCATGGTGCATGGTGACCTAAAGGTTTGCATGCCGCACTGTCATTTAAAACCAATGACATTTCACCTACCAATATATATCTGTACTACTCTCCGAACGGCCTCTTGGAGATTTCTGTACTTTCTAACAGAGATCACGTGATTATGGTCTTGATTAGCCGAAGCTATGCTCATTAGTGCACGTGTATTTACTTTTCTTCCAATACCTTCAAGAACAGCAAAACAATAACAAAGAAATGACAGTTCACTCTGGTACGAATTAAGGGCTCTAAAATGCACCTAAACTCGGGAAAAAGCAAAGGCGGGTCATTTAAGATTAGCGAAAAGTATAATCAGGGTGCGTTTCTTTGGGGAAATGCAAGATTGGATTCTTAAATCCAAAACGGACTTTGCATTTCTTTACCAGACGGCCTAATCCAAGATCATTGGGATCAACACATGATGATGCAGCATGATCCGAGGGATCTTTGATTAATCTATTCAGTAAAGAAACGCGAAGTCCGTTTTTCAATTTCAGAATCCAATCTTGAATTTTCTCAAAGAAACGCTCTCTTAATAGCTACTGATGACAATGTCGGATTTGTAGACTTAATGAGAAGTTATAGAGGGTAGAAAAGCCAGTTGTTAATTGTAATTTTATTTGATTTTCTCTAACTGTAAGCAGAAGAACATTGCAAAGTAACCCCCTCCCCCCCCCAAAAAAAACTTTATTTTATCCCTTTCTCCTAAATATACAAAAACTTGCTTACTAAATCGCTCTGAATAAATGGTCAGCGCTGTGGTGTATTTTGTACTCCCGCCTTAAAATCTTTAATCTTTTATCATTATTATTTTATACACAGTAAAAATTCATCAGGTACAATCAATTCCGATAAAATGTCTAATATCCTAAACCTAACATTATAATCCTAATATTATATTAACTTACAACAATATTCTACTAATAAACCTGATTTCCATGAATGCCGTGTGTTTAAGAATTATGATGGAGAAAGCGTTAAATTGATTTAGTGAACCAAACTCTCTAATGTTACAGGGTAGGCTGTTCCAAAGGGTTGCGCCGCTGTAACTAACACCATTCGACGTCAATAGCCTCCTTAGGTCAGATCTACGCGCGCTTGGATTGGGTCCGCCATATGCTCGATGTAGTGTTGTATTTGTTGTGTTCATCACTTAATAAGTCCAGACTGAGTACCCATGTACTACACATTGATTTAATTGGCTACAAGTAAACCTTCAGCAAAAACTGCAAAATAGCTTAAAACAAAATTTGGCGGGCATTAATTAAAAATCATATTTAGAAATAAAAACAAATTGCTGCGGCGGTAGCGCTTTGAATTGAATTGCATCCGATTAAGTTCACAAAAAAGGGCTAAAAGGTATTTTTATAAACTTAATCCAATCCAATTAATTATAACAGCTCACCAACAGTTCAACCTTACCAATCGCGTAAACTTCAAAGTGTTTATTATCGCGAAGATACATTGCTTCTCTTCGTACGGATCCACTGAGGTCCAATCCGTCTGTGATAAGCATCATCACCCGATGGCTATCATAACGAGAATTGGGTGCCACTTTATTCCTGACAAGTTTAAAAGGACGAATGTACGAAGAAACCCAGCCCACGAACATTATATTGTCAATAGCATTGATAGCTTTCTCGATAGTATCCGCTTTACTGTCTCCTAAGTTGAATTCCAACTTAGCTTCAGTCACAGCTGCTACTTGTGTTCTGGCCGCCCTGAAAAAGAAGTAGAGTTTAAATCAGTGTATGCATACTTTCGTGATAACACCACGGGAGAGGATCCGGGTAAAATATTGAATTGCTGTTGCATGATGGAATATCTGTCAGCTCAAAGCTTTAATGCACAGACAGTTCTGAAACAGTTAAAATGGCACAAATCTCTGATACCTTTTAGTTAACCCGATGATTGTAAGAAGTTCTTTCGCAAACTCCAAACTTCTCTGAAAATAGAATTTGTTCACACTGACGGAAGCATCAAAAAGAAACACTAGATCCAGTCCACAATCTTCGTTTAAGTTGATCCCTTGTCTTCTTTGTTGCCTAGTAGTTTCACTACTGCATTGGTTTTTAGGCTTGTCTGTAAAAAGAGAAATTTTATTTTATTTTATTTTATTTTATTTT